TTAGAGAAAATAAGGTGTACTTTACTAATAAAAAATAATACTTACATGGAGAAATCCAAATACAAGACAGAAACACTTGTAAAACATGCAAAGCTATATATCTTGTAGACATTTTAAAAAACGGACGCCTTATTAATTACGATTTGCTATCAGTATCTCGATGTTATTGCTAATATTTAGAACTAGGCAATAAATTTTATTTTATCGTATGATTATATTAATAATACTATCAGTAAATATAAAATTTTCGCACGTTTTTAAAACTTTCCAAAATTTGAACGTAATGTAAAACTTCGTTCTGCTTCCTCTAATATTGAAGAGTGACTACTATGTACTCAGCTCTGCATGAGCTTATAATGGGCTGCCCCTTTGTGATTCAGTTGTATTGACACACAAAAGGGAGAAACTGGATTAATTCAGTTAAAAAAACTCGGTAGAAAGGTACGCTTTAATAGAGGAAGTCTTGTGTAAGTAATTCACACTTGACGCGCGGTATACTCTTGAAAGAACCGCTTGATTACTTAAGAGATCATATTAAAGTTGTGAATAGGAAAGGTAATAAGAAGATTTTCCAGTTCGTTTTAGCACTCGAGTATTTAAAAATAATGAGTCTTCAGTCGGCGTGGCGCTTCATTACTTACTTCAGTCAACCTGAAGAAGTAGAAAGTAGTTTTGTAAATTGAAAATTACTATCTATTTCATGTTACAAGATAAAGAGATACTTCATATTTCTTAAAAGATGGAAAAACTTGATGATGCAGTGGTTAGCGCATAGAGTAGGGTAAACGTACACTATAGTTGTTTTATTATTACATAGCACTCTGGTACAAAATTTTCTTTTCTAAACATCTACAAAATGTGTTACTATAATTAGATATTATCTGAAGAATGAAGCATATGTAGTATAATTGACGATTAAACGAACTTACCTGGAAGTGAAGTTCGATTACAATTATGTTTTTATTTATTTTCTCATCACAAAGGTAGTAAATAGGTTGAAGTACAGAGCTCGGCAAGCGGACACTACAAATTATTGAGCAAATACTCATAGACAAAAATAAGACAAAATGTTAGAAATAAGTGACTGTGACATAAGGATGGACAAACAAATGTGAAAATCTCTAATAGCTCTAGTTTCCACCATTCGGCTGAGGAACCATCATAAATTGCAATTATTTTTTTTTAGTTATTCATTGTTTTTGTATGTATGTTCCACGATACCGATCTTCTTCGGTATTGAACCAATTTTGATGATAAAAATTAATCATTTTTTATTTTGAATTCTCGAGGGAGTCCCATAAATATTTTGTCCAAATCTAGGGCTGATTGTCTTATTTCAAAATCTATTGCAATCCCTTTCGAATGTGTAACGATTTATGGAGTTATGTAAATTTCAAGGTCATAATCGCTTTTGGAACGAATGATGATTGACCATTGAGATCAAGGAACATAATAAAAAATTAACTAACCCCGTCTAAAGATTTCAGTTAGGGGGCGTACATAAATTACGTGAGATGTTTAAGGGGGGGAGGGGGTCGAGTCAAATCTCATCTAATCTTACGTTGGAGAGATGGGGTCTCGGCAAATATCACGCAATTTATTTTTCTGGTTGAAACAAAAAAAAATATACTATTTTGTTCCATTTAATCCAGATTATACATGCTTAAGATTTAATCTTAAGCGTAATCGTATACGATTTAGATCATTCACTTAATCGTTCGAAAGAAAATAATTTAATTATTCTTCTTCTTTTAGTCTTTGGTTTTCATTTATATACTTTTACTTAAATTTGGCTTCCATAAAAATAATCTATGACTGAATTTGAAAATTCCCACATTTTGAAAAATCTCATGTGAGATTGGGGGATGGGGGAGGGGGTTGAATAAAATCTCACGACATCTCACCAGGGGGGGAGGGAGGTACAGAAACTAAAAAAAAACACCTCACGTAATTTATGGACGCCCCCTTAACAATCAACTTTTTGTATAGCAATTTTTCAACCGCTTTCAAAGATATAATCGTCTAATGCTTATATTAAATTAAAAATATCTTAAATTAACAAAATCGTTCCGATATCAATCGCTGTCATATATCAAATAATTGAAAGACGCGAAGTTCGTGAATAACTCTCAAATGTCAAATTGAAAGGAATTGCTATAGATTTTGAAATTAGACAATTTGGCCCCGGGTCAGTAGTTTGGTTTACATACAAATAACTGGATAAACTACATCGTCTGAATTAATTAATTATCTTGATGCCATCGTTGTTGCTGAGAAGTGAATTATTTTTACCTAAAACTGACATCAGTAAGAATATGTTATCTACTTTTCTTTTATTTATTCTTTCACTAATTTCTTTTCGATATTCTCTAAGAATATATTTAAAGCGCCTACAAGATTAGATTACATTTATTACATGCGTACACACAGTTACTTGACAACATACTTATGAGTTTAATCAGTATAATTTTTTAATTTAATCGATGGATTTTATTCCTGTTACGTACAAAACCAAACCATGCAGTTCGAATATTGAATAGCTCCTCCCATTTGATAGATTTTTTCAGTAGACGACGATTTAAAGACGGTATCATAGTTAGGTATGTATCAAATACGGGAAGCTTGTTTGTGCGTGCGTCCGTCTGCCCTCCAGATTGGCGGAAGTCCGCTGTTCGAACAATCTCCGCTCCTGGCGACTGTACAAGAACCAGGACCAGATCTAGTAATTATATAGATACAATATTATATAGAGTCAACTACAAATTTTTAAGACACAGTTCTTGTTACTAGATTACAAATTATAAATATATTTGTCACTGATTTATGAAAAAGACATTGCACTAATAATATTAGCCTTCAGGTAAGATAGTACAATGGAAAAATGTACCTAGTTGAGATTCTATTGAGATGCGATTTTTACGTAAAAAATAGCAGAATTCTGGGGGCCAATTCTACTAAATAAATTTTGTTTAAATCGAATCGAACACGGATCGAAACCGAACGAAACTATAGTTTTTAATGGTTGTCCTATTCTACAAAGTGACATACGATACAATTCCAGTTCTATTTTAGCTGGAATTGTATTGTATGTCACTTAGTAGTATAGAAAAACCATTAAAAACTGTAGTTTCGTTCGGTTTCGATTCGATTTAAACAAAATTTATTGAGTAGAATTGGCCTCCAGGCCCTAATAAAGAATCAAATCAAATCAATTCGCTCAGACCCAAATTAGAATTCACTTATGTGTCCGACTTTACTTCAAACAGTGGATCCCCTCAATCTTGTATTGGTAATAACGTTTCGTGAAATGAGTTTCAAAATGACATAGGAATAGAATATCTGAGACATATATAATCAATCAATTTGTTTTTGTATATTTATACAAAAAGGAATCAATCGAAATTCTTGACTAAATAACGTGAATTCGGACACAATCGCTCTGCAGCTGAGGCTCTAAGGGGTTAGCATATCCAGCAAAATCCTCCGATATATGTACTCTCACCTTGGGAAGAAGGGTTTAATATCCGGTAAGGGCCCCAAGCCCTACCCCTTTCAGGGGCCTCTTTTGTATACGCAGTGTAAATGCACCTTATAGGCTTATATTATGCTTTCCAGTCACTAGAACCTGCCACAAGGGACAAGATCAAAGCTTGGCTGTCCTACCTGATAAAACAAATACGTCGAATACAAATACGGCAAATACAAAAACCCACTGCGAAGTACTTGCACTAGAATCCTTCAAGAAGGCTACAGTACAGACCCAAGGCCACAAAAAATAAACTGCCTTTACTGGATTTTGATCTAGCGGCAACCCCGAGTATGTAAAAAGTCTGCTGTCTAACCGTGTCCTCCTTCACGGGTGAGCGAAGGCTTCCGAGCCCTGTCCCAAACTGTTAAAATATGTAAACTTTCTTCCCAGAACGTGATCCAAGAATATGTACATTAGATTTTCAAAAATCCTATTATTCTATATATAGAGAAAATTAAGGACACCATCCGCCCGCTTGGCATCCTAAGTTTTGCTGCCTCTCATTTTTGCTGCTCTGAGCAAAATTGTTGACTGGTCCCCCCTTAAATCAGGCCCTGGGACTGAAGATCCGCACACTTACGCATATTACATACTGGCACTAATACAATGATTAGTTTGACATACCTTGAACAGACCAATAACAAGCGTAAGCGCATTATGTAAGTCTTGAATCAAGAGTTTGCTCAATTACACATAATTTGGTGGTTACAAATAAATATAATATTGCAACATTACTCTAGCCCTCCCATTTTTGTATGAGGCCTCCATTACAATTATTTCATATATTTCTTTCATTTCATATTGCACTAGATAGTGCCCCATAATAGCAATTGAACCTTTATTGTAAATCATAGACGTATATTAAATCACGGCGGATTTGCATTTATCCTATTTCATGATTTGAAAGTAATTCTGTCTAAAAATATTGAATTAACTATTTCGAAAGAAGACTCGAACGATCATGGTACTTTTACAGGAGCCTTGTATAATATGTCTTAAAGTTATGTTTAATGAATTAATAATGACTGTTTCTTTTAGTGATCAATAAATTAAAATGATCACTAAAAGAAACAAACAATCATATTACAATTTGAAGACAATGTTTAGTGGAAATCTGTTATTTTTGTTTTCCATATTTCAGCTAAGGTTTTTTAAACACGCTAAAAGTTTTATTGGATTCATCAACCCAATTTAATTGAGATGAAATGGACATATAACAATTGGAAACAAATGGAATTACTTGATGCAGTGATATGGGATCCAAGATTACTTTACCTTTACCTTCATCTATGATCTTAATGAGTGCACCAATGCATTAAATATGATGTATTTGAATAAATTAACTGAAGACCCTTTACTTATATAAAACTGAACAGAAGGCCAGTGAGCGTAGTAGTCTTAATCGAGAGAAAATAGAAGCATCGCCTGTGAGCTTTGACACTGAAATATTGATGAGACTTCAATTATTAAGATGGTATATACCGGTGAGTATGCAATATCCTATATCACAGTCAATTTGTCCTGAATTAAGGCAATTGAATAAGTGTTCAGGCTATGGATAGACACGGCCGCCGTGAGTTTATGCCTAGTCGGTGCGCGGTGTTACTGTCGTCAGTGGGGCGTGGAGCAGGCGACAGCGCGGTACGCAGCGGCGAAATCTGCTCATATCCGAACCAAAATGGCCGGTGCGCTGATTTGCTTTTTGGTGGTATTATGCAGTTTGCTACACCAAGGTTTGTTGGTTTTTCATTTGTTAGTTGGAACTCCTTTTCCGGTCGTATTCCTCCTATTGTTGAATCAGTGGAGTAATATAATAATACAAGCGTTCATTGCGAATATTGTGCACCATTCATAAGTTATTCATACACTAGTATAAGCATATTTTTCGTTCAAAAACATCCAATACCAATTCAATTTTAAATAAATGTTCACCATTACAGATCGATTCCATGATTCGTATTATCATCAAAATAAATGTATCGAACATACAGACACTTCTAATTGATATTTCGTAAATTTTGAGTAGCTTGCACAAGACGCTGTCCGAAATTGACGAATTTATCCAACTGATTATATTGACATTTAAAATACGTTATTAAATACGGTATTTACTCATATCAACAACACAAGGCTTGTGGAAATTATTTTCTTCATTTTTCTATTGGTCTCTCGATATTGGGTTTTCGATTTTTTATTATTTGACATGATTATGTGTTATTTTTTAGAATCTGATTAATTTAACCTTAGTGACATTATTAAACACAATTAAAATCGGAGATATAGGAATCATTAACAATTTTTAAAAGCAAGTCCCGCATGATGCTTAATTATACATGTAAAAAAATTACGCTTTGTTGCTATATTACCAATACTTTCGTATTTTTGCGGAGCAAACATTAGGGTCATAAATAGCTTCAAATTTTGTGCTGTGGGAAGTATGAACTTTGCGTATTTGAAATAAATGTATCTGCAGTTATTAATAAACCCACGAACATTGACGCAACATTGACGTTTACGTATTCTATGTACTACATAGTCATTTCTATTCCCAAAAGGCCAAAGTTTTATATAGTTCGTTATTATATTATTCTTTGGTTCGAGCACACTTTAATATAAAGCAATTAAACTATATATAGTTAAATCTTCTTCTAATGCATATACTGTGATCAAGATTAGACAAAACATCTACGTTTTCAAAAACTAGTTTAAGAACCAAAAGTACGTCACGAGTCCCAAACATATTTGCTATTTTCTCGTTTACGCAAAGATCATAATACGACCAATGCCCTTCATATACTAAACAATCATGATATGGCAGGAAACAAGCACAGTGATAATGTTATATTATGTTACTTCCGGATCACTAAGTACAAAGTGATAATTCTAATAAATGTCAAAATCATGAAATGCATTGATCTTACGAATTTCAGTAAAATGAAATGTTCTTTCTCAGGTTTAGCAATCACATGTTACCAATGTAACAGCCACAACGACTCCCGCTGTCTACTGCAAAAGTTGCCAGACTCGCTGCGACTGCCGTGCGGACCAAAAGACACAATGTGCCGTAAAATTTCTCAAGTCGTAGAGTTCGAGATGAATGGTATGCCTCCGGACAGCCGTGTCATCAGGAGCTGTGGATGGGACGAGAGCAGTTACAAGGTGACCTTAAGCTAAAGTCTAAAATTACTCTTAATTTGTAATGAGATCACACCTACATCTATAAATGTACTTGGATTGTTAACTCACACTGACGTCATAATATCTTGTCTTAGATTTATCTAGATTTATCTAAGACAAGATATTGTTTCAGCAACAATTTCTTTGCGTTATATCTAAAAATCAACACAACAAAATCTGCAGGTACAAATAAGACTTCGGTGTAATGGTTAACAATTAGGTTTTTTTTTTTACTAAATATAGAGAAGGAAACATATTGTATTTAAGTTTTCAAGCTCAGTTCTTAGTAAGCATATGGGTGTAGTTTGTAGCAACAAATACGAAGATTTTTTATATTTACAGGGTCGCTGTTACCAAAGGTCGGGTTTCGGTGGTCGGCAAGAAGTTTGTTCTTGCATAGAGGATGGCTGCAACTCCGCTTCAATTCCCGTAGGAGCCACTGCTCTAATGCTACTAACATTCGCGTTACTGAGGTTTTAGGATTACATTCTTTACAGTGAACCTGGTGGATTATGATCAGGTCTCCGAGCTGAAGACCAAGAAACAATATAGGTTAATAGCCCAAAGGAAACTAGGGAACTGATCTATTAGAATGTTTATAATTAGTAGAATATGTTCCCGTTGTGTTCGTTAATATTGTAGTGGTGCATAGTGTTAAATATAGTCTGCGCGTTAAATAAGTTAGGGACTTGTTGTAAATAGATGTTAATATTCGCAAGCGTTGCACAAACTGAAAGTAGTCTTATGTTAGGGCAATGGAGTTCTTAATTAAGCCAAAGGCCTGTCCATACGTCGATAGTTACCATATTTATAATGTTCTGCGTGACCTTAATCTTTGTTGTGTTTGTGTTTTGCGATTGTATTTAATAAAGTAATTAACATTATCAGGTTTTTATTTGTCATGTAATATTTTATGCCTATTTTATATCAGTTTTATTAAACAGAAATTCTTCATCTAACTAAGGCGGTGGAGTAAATCTTAAAAGTGTAACCACTTCAAGAAACACAGTTGAGTAATCTCAATTGTGCTCTTCCGGCGAATCTCACAGAAGTCAACGAGGAACATCCTTTCTATTTGGTGTCGCATGACTACATAATACTCTACAATAATACCGTACAATGATAATACCAGACCAGATGTCTGAAGTACCTGTTACAAAGCTGTGGTCTACAAAACATGGCCTATTTAATGTTTGGAGTCGTTCTATTTTTCACTATATTTGATTTTGGTGAGTAAATATAAATATTACATGCTTATTCGTCATCTTGTCTATATTTATAATAATTGAAAGATTATATAATAGTTCATATCGGAACAGTGAAAGTAGGTAGTGAATTACAAACCGCATTAAATTGATTTTAGATAGAAGTGAAAATATTTATTTGGCCGACCCTGTATTTATTTTTATCGCCCAATTTGAGCAGAGCCTTAACACTCATACTTTGTTGCTCCGAAAACGAAACACATATTCTGTACAGATTATCTGGACAATAAGGATAGTATTTTTATTGGGTTATAAGTTTCTAAAGATAATGTTATCGTAGAGACGCAATAGAACGTTTCAATAACATTTATTTTCAGAGAACTGTTGTAGGTCTTCTGAAAACTACTTATAATATTTGAATTTATCAGGAACTATTTTCTTGCGTCACGCTTGGTTAATAACTGATAATCAATTTTAAACCAATAATGCTTTTAATATATATTAGAGCTAAATGTACAAAAATCAAATATATTTCAGAATAAGCATTTTTTTTAGTTGCACTATTAACTTTGTTTTTAAAACCTTAAAATAAGAAATATAAAAAAAATAGTAATAAGCTGAACACAAATACCTTATGTAGTACCTTACCTACTCGGCCCGCTTTTTCTTCGTCTTTAGGATTCCCATGGATCCATGGAAAAACTTTTAGTGACAATAGAACTTTAATATTTTACTGTGTCAACTTTAGAATAAAAGTACATGACTTTTTAAAATTTTTACACTCGTATTTATAGTCGAGAGAAGTATCACTTGAGAAAATGTCATAAGCTAATAATATTTTTAACCAATAGATGAGAATTTGAATGAACTAAGAACTGTTGATAGCCAATTACATTAATAATACTATAAAATATTAATATACTAATATACAAGCGGTAACTACCAAGAACTACAAATTTCCATACAAAATCCTAACGTGCTCACTAGTGAACGAGTAAGTGTAAACTTACACTTACCATTTTTTACTTCATTCAAATTCTTGTTTATTTGGTAAAAATGCCTGCTTAAGTTATGACATATTCTCAAGTGATTGATTATCTAATTCTCTCGATTACAGATACGAGTGTTAGAGTATTTGCAAAAAAAAAAATACCTGAAACGTAATATTTTAAAATAAAAACCGCAACCCTAGGAACGACGCAGGCGAACCCGCTGACGGAAAACTATACATATAAAGCGCAAAGCGAAAATATATTTTTTAAAGTAAATCTATATATGTATTTATATTGAAAATAAGAACAGATTTTATAAGTTAAAAATAGGTTTTAAAACCGTTGCACCCAAAAACACACCCAGCAGCATACAGTTATAGTTGATATCAAAATCGATCGAAAGGGAAATTTTACATGTAATACGTCCAATTATTTTACAATTTAGAAGTGCTATTCCAATGTTGAATAAATTCAAAGGTGCCTCGCTAGTAACTGAGGTGCGACCACCTAACTCTTTCGCTATATCTTTAGCCATAGTTATAAAATGAATATCTAGATATTCTCTATCATAACGATAAATTTATTTTCTATACTAATATTATAAAGAGGAAAGTTTGTTTGTTTGCATTGCACAGGCTTCGAAAATACTCGATAGGTTTAAAAAATTCCATCACCTACTGGTAGCTACATCATACGAGGTTGACATAGGGTATAATTACACGTGCGAGGTCGTGGGACAACAGCAAATTATTTATATATTTAATTAAACATTTTAGTTTATTTAATTAAACATTTTAGTTTATCCTAGATTTCACAACAGCTTTCGTTTATAAATTCGAATTTTCTACTTCCACAAACTTTTCAATATTTTAGAAAACTACAACAACAACTAAATCGATTAAATATGAAAATAATAAGACGAGAACATTATAAAAGAACAATAATATTCATTGATGAAATCAATAAAACGTTTTTATAGCTATGGCTAGAGTTAAAGCGAGAGATTTAATATTTGATCAACGGTCAGTTGCACAAACGTTCATTAAAGTTTCTCTCTAATGAATGGTCTAAATTTGAAAAATTGTATCTGCAAATGTCACATAAAATGCTGCCATGGCCATAAGATGGTTTTCAAACACAAATATTAACACAAAAAGGATTAAATCTACTGGATAAATGTGATGTTGATTGTAGAACTGATGAAATCCAAATTAATAGGTTCATCGATAACCTGCTACGAGTGTAATAGTGCATTACACCCGCAGTGCGAAGGCAACATGCTCCCCGACACCTGGAAGAGGAACTGTTCCGATCACGACCGGGGCATGACCCACACGTTGTGCAGGAAGATAGTGCAGCACGTAGACTTCGGTAGTGTTAACGGGCAGCTGCCTGCTAGCAGGGTAATTCGCACTTGCGGCTGGGACGACTCCAAATATAAGGCACGTAATAGTTATAATGTGATAATACAACTCATACTTTAAAGTTCATAGCAGACGGTTAATATGCTAATATTTCATCTTATAACATATTTTAACATCTTAAGCTATAATACACTGTTAATATTACGATAATACATATAAATGCCATATTTCGTATCTTATAATACCATCTTAACCTCCGAAAGATTATATTTCCGTATCGCTTGGCAGCTTATGATCTAGATATGCAAAATATAGTTTTATCTTAGCCTTGTGTCCTTTACAATGTATGGCGAGCGATATTTTATCTTAAAATATCATATTATAGCACCTTAACCATCTGTTATCGATCTTTATTTGTTATGGATTTTAAAACTAAATTTTAGATCGTATACCGTTATTATATTTGATTAAAATATATCTTGAGATAAAAAAGTTGTGGGTCGAGTCCCATCTTGGAGTATCTGGGGTTGGTAGATTTTTTAAAACATTTTCCATTATAAAACACAAATACTGTTGATTTTAACCATATTAATTAATAGTAAAGACTATACTAATATTATAAATAGGTTAACTTTTTAATTGTATTTATTCAGTCGCCTTAGGATTGCGTAAGGTCATGGATTCAAGTCCCGTTTCAGAGTGCCAGGGACAAAGTGGATTTTTTAAGCATTTTTCATTAAGAGCATTATGATTATTAAAATTGCCTAGCATTGAAAATTTACATACAAATAATTTAACAACCATATTTCCTGAAGTTTACAAATTAGCAAAACTAATGGGTAGTTATGATACCAGTGAGTAGCGATAATTTTTGTTCTTAATGAAACATCTGCCCTCAGAGTTCCTGCTATCACAGAGCAGGATTTGGAGGACGTCAGGAAGTATGCTCCTGCACAAAGGATCTCTGCAATAAATCCAGTGACGTCAGAAGCACACCTTTTATGATAATCTCCACCGCTGCCATGATCTTCAGAAAGTATATTTGCCAATGACGGAATTGCGTATTATACGCATGTAGATTAATAAAATTAAATGAATACCTAAGAATTACGTAGCATTTTTATTTTATTTGATCAATTTGCATTCACAATGCTATACTGAAAAATATTCTTAATGAAAATTACTTAAAAAAATCCACATATCCCTGGCACTCTGAGATGAGACTCTAATCTAAGAACTCGAATACATGACCTCATGATATCATTTATTCAGTCTAGGCTGTAACAAGCACTTGTGCATGTCGAAAGCTACTCCATCAGTTCACAAATCTACGGAAGAGCCGGCAAGAAACTCAGCAAGGGCAGCTTTTTTCTCTCTCTTTAATTTCATATAAAGAAATAATTGGAAATGATATTTATTTCGGTTACCGAGTCATCATCATCATCAGCCTTTTTAGGTGCAGAGGCTCAGGCCTTCCTTATGGATTGAAGGGTATTAACGATTGCAAATGCAGCCGGGACCAACGGCTTAACGTGCCTTCCGAAGCACGGAGTAGGTAGAGATAATTTTTTTTTTTGGTCACCCATCCCGTGACCGACCCTTGCGAAAATTGCTTAACGACAACGATCGCGGGCCGCGGCGCTTATCTACTACGCCACCGAGCTATTCAGTCATAGATAGTCATTGACAACTTAATATACAATATTCATAACAAAATGATGATGATAGAACTTTGGATTTAATTCTGTGATGATAGAACTTTGGATTTAATTCTATGCTCTATGCGAGAATCAAAGGTAGTCCAGCCTCTAGACCTCTTGAGTAAGCTGGATCCTAAGCATCCTAATCTAGTTTTGCAATTACCTCTAGTAAATGCACAATATTTTCTGATTAAACCTCACGCCACTTACAATTATTTTAAAGCCGACTTTACTTCCATTAGTTCGAACTTGACTGCTGTTGACTGGTATAAAGAAATTGCGGGCTTGAACGATGTTAATGAGATTGTCGAGGTTTTGTATAGCGTACTGCATTCAGCAATTGAAAAGTATGTACCCAAATGCAAAATAAAAAAATATAAGAATCCACCGTGGTTCACTCGTGCATTAATTGCATTGAGATCGAAGCAGGATAAGTTAAGATGAAGGTACCTTAAATATAATAACCCAAGGGACAAACTGGAGTATGACATTATAAGAATTCGATGTCACAAACTTGCACAGAGATGTTATTTGGAGTACAAATCTCGTCTTGAAGCGACATTCATGCAAATTCAAAGGCATTTTGGAGACATATAAAAACAAACGTAACGGACAGTCAGCAATGCCATCACAAACAGGTCCTGATTTGGCCAATTATTTGCTGATCATTTATGTTCCACGTACACAACTAATAGTCATCCATCTGCTTCTAATGCTACTTGTAACGAAACTTTTATACACAGATCACTGAGTTGCATTCATATTTCAGAGAAAGAAATATTGGAAAAAATTAAAACTCTCGACATAAAAAAAAAGTGCAGGCTTGGATGGTATTCCTCCCATACTTGTGCAACGCTGTGGACTATGCTTAAGTCTTCCTTTGTACCTTATCTTTAATAAATCGCTTCATAGCGGCATATTCCCCACCTCTTGGAAAACAGCTCGCGTAACGCCAATACATAAAAAGGGAAACTAAAGTAATATTGCAAACTATAGACCCATTTCTATATTGCCTTGGTTTTCCAAACTTTTGGAAACACTCTTATGTCCCGTAATTATACGTCATATTGACCCTATCTTGAGCGATTTTCAACATGGATTTCGCAACTAACTTAATTTCAAATACGTCCTATTTGTTTTACCATATAGATAGGGGATCACAGATTAACGCAGTATACACAGATTTTTCTTGTGCCTTCGACAGAGTAAACCATAACGTACTTATAAATAAATTAGAATCATGTGGTATTCACGGGTCACTCCTTGTTTGGTTTGAATCATATCTGGAAAGGAGGACGCAATTGGTAGCAGTGAACGGTTTCGTGTCTCGTTTGTACTTTGTTCGATCTGGGGTGCCTCAGGGTTCGAATCTAGGACCAATACTATTTTCAGTATTTGTGAATGACATTCCTGATGTGGTCAAGCACTGTAAAGTATTATTGTTCGCGGATGATCTCAAGTTGTTTAGGGAGGTGTGTTCGAGTGCTGATTCTTTGCAATTGTAGGGTGATTTAGACAGATTGACAGATTGGTGCTTTAACAACGACGACATTGAATCCAAAAAAAAATGTTTCTACGTCAAATTTACAAAGAAGAAACTTCCACAGCTCAACACCTATAATCATGGAGAAAGAATAGTCGAAGTAACCGAGATGCGGGACCTGGGAGTGGTTATAGATTCAAAATTAAAGTATACGTCTCATATAAACAGTATAATTACAAAATCAGCTCGAATGCTCGGATTTCTTAAACGAAATGCGAAAGACTTTAAGGTAAAAACTAAAGTTTTGTTGTATAATTCGCTTGTACGCAGTCATTTGGAATACGCCAGTTCTGTTTGGAATCCTTCTTACGTCTCCCATTCACAAAGGATCGAGGGTATTCAGCGTGCGTTTACGAGGCAGCTAGCGTTTGCGGTGTATTTCCCACGGGTGCTCTTATAAGCAAAGATTGAAATTTTTCAATATACCATCCTTAAGAACCTGCCGTACTGCTAACGACTTGTTTTTGTTATACAAAATTTTGAACGGCCGCACTGGATGTATTGACTTGTTGGAGCAAGTTTCAGTTTCTGTTCCATATCATGTACCCCGCCACCCAATTACACTTCGGGGTCCCGTATTACGAACTAATATAGGTTCTATTGCTCCGATTTCACGAATGTAGCAACTATAATCGGGTTTTTGTAGTGTGTGTGGCGGAGTGGACTTATTTCACGACAGGTATCGAAATTTTCGAAATAAAATAAAAATATTTTTGTACCAGTCAGCAGTTGTATTGTAATTGTAATCATTTTTTATTTTACTTTCTGTTTATTGTATTTTATATAAATATTTTTTAAACATAATTCTGCATGGTTATTATTGTTGTGAACTGTTATTCTGTCATTTACGTCCAAATTTATTTTAAAATGTTTATTTTGATTTGATGTTTATTTTGAATTAGATTTTTACTTTGATTTTAAATTAGATTTAATTTAATTGTTTTTAATTGTAATGACTGATTTATAACTAATTTATGACTAATATATATTTATTTAATTAATTTTGTATAATTAATAATCTGTGCTCAAAATTGCTTTAATACCAATGTCGTGTCACCTATAAAGGTATATGCATCAGACCGATAATTTATTGATACTGTATTGCAAAATATGTATTAATGCATGCACTGTTGGTGTCCTATAAATAAATAAACAAAAGATTATGGACGTAATTAAGTAGTTCGAGAGTTTTTTATCTAATCTTAAAATAGACGGATAAAAAAATTTTAAGTAGTTCAGAGCAGACTCATCCCCACTTCCGCAGTACCCGTTCATGAGCATGATAGAGGAATTATTTGCCAGTTTGAGTAACGAAGGCCAGTTAACATTATCTTCGACACGCTTATGAACAGGTTTTTAGACCCAGATTGTCAAGAAGACAAGGAAGGTTTGGCAATTTATTTTGGCATTATTAAACACTGCTAGTATCTTTTTGGCAGGAGGTTTATACTACGTTCAGATCATGAGCCCCTTACGACCCCTTAGTAATATACTTGGTGGCAAAAAAGGCATTCCACAAACAGCTCCTAGTCGACTAAAACATTGAACTGCCCGGTTAACTGCGTATGATTTTACAATCTAATTTGTTTCTTCGATGACCATTCTTTTCAGAAGAATTTAAGCAATATTGTGAGAAAAATATAATAAGGCAATCTACTTCAGCACCATACAGGCCCTAAGGCAATGGTGAAGCAGAAAATGCTGTTAAAACCGTAAAAAAGATTATAATACGGCATGTGTTTGAAAATGATGACAGAAGACATTTTAACTGCATTTTATTGATTTTTATTTCAATATCGTAATTGCGAACACGCAATGACGGGTTTTCTCCCGCGGTTGCACTTGTCGCACGTCGCCTTCGTAGTCGGTTTGACGCGCTTTGGCCAGACAGAGGTTCCGTAGTAGGGACCGCGCATTATAAAAAAATAAATATCACAAATGGTAGACTCTTTTCCCGCTTCACACTCGGTGATGAGGTGCTAGCTCGCGATTACTCTAAAAAGGGCAATACATCAGCAAAATGGTATGTTTTAGAAATAACCGGTCCGCTGTCTCATAAAGTTAAAGTCGGAAATACGATAGAATGACGCAGACATTATGATCAAATCATCCCACTGAAAAAGCATTATTCCTTGCCGCGTGCGAGTGCATCTTCATTCAAAATAATGAAGAAAGATGATCGTCAAGATACACTATATCGGAGGGAGGTCAAAAGAACTTGTATCACGGCGAACCAGGAATAGTATTACCTGAATTTAAAGATAAATTTGAAGATGGCCTAGAATCCCTCGATCCTTTAGAGCGAACTAAAAGAGCTCATAAGCGGAATTAACAGAAAAAAATCAGTATTTGAAAATTTTAAAGATTTTTGTTATATTTAAAATTGTTCGTGGGATATGGAAGGTATCATAAGAATATTTATTATTGGAGAAGGCGGTAGAACATAATAAATCTAAGCGGCGTTTTATTACGTTGCAAATTGATAAAAAAATACGATCATATACGGCAAAAAAAAACATATTTCAATACTCTCAAGGTATCAAAATTGAAGGGGTTTCTTCCCGTTGACCTAGCAATAAAATTTGCCAAGTAGCAACGTTTTATAGCACAAGTTAAAGGAAACATTTAGAAACAATACATTTATGATTAAATTATCAAAAATACTAGCTTTTGCCCGCAACTTGGTCTACGCGGTATAAATATTTCTAGTAAAACCTACCTATATTATTAAAAAACTTCAAGAATGAAGAAATTCTCATTTCTATTGTTTTTTTTTTTTTATATTTGTTCAATAAATTATTTCTTTTATAAGTAGGTCAATATTGATTTTTTTTTATAAAAGAAATTGTTGGAATCATGTTTAAAATAAACAACTCTTAAAAATATATTTGTTATTCTAATAAAAAACTGAAGCATCTGGTTCAATTGATGTGACATATAAAGGGCTAGATGTTAAAAATATAAAAAAAAAATATTTAATATTGGAACGGAACCCTCAGGGTGCAAATCCGACTCACTATTGGCCAGTTATTTTAGTAAATTCACCATTTGGTCCAATAGAGTTATTATAAATGATGTCTACGTAATTTTTTTCTAAAATTATAGGACATCAAATGGAAATTTCCATCTTGAATTTGGAGCCAAAACAACCATACATTGATGTCCGCCATATTATGACGTCCATACTTTGTATACTTATTTTAACAGCAATATAGGGATCGTGTGGTTTAGTGGTAATAATAATAAACACTGTTTTTTATTCTAATTTTCAACTTTTTAGAGTTTATGTAACTGTTTATTCAATTTCTTTTTTTTTGACAATGGTATTGACAGTTGTCAGATGAGATCAAACTCATCAAACGCCTTAGATTTTTGTTTGTCAATACATAAATCAAGTGACACGCAGCCTAAAAATAGTGATTTTATTATACGAACGTAATTATTAAAAATTAATGGAGTAATAAATAATGGAAATCTTTAATTTAATAAAAGTGTCATATTTTATTCAAAATAAAATATGACAGAATAAGATTCAAAATAAGATATGTATGATAACCCTATTACAAATCAAAATAAGATATGTATGATAATTACAGATTTCACTTTCTTACATTACGTAGGCTTTATATTTTGATATTTTCATTAAATATTAAAGTATCATTCTTACAATAAGAAAAGGGTGATCACTGATCACCAGAGGTCGGAATTAGGTAGAGTTATTTATGTACTTACATCGAAATGTTGATATTAATGTGGACCTTCCCGGGTTTTCTAATGGACAATTTCCAATTATTAAGACATCCGATGTCATTGATGTAAGTTTGGCAACGTCGTGCGTGCAGTAGTTTAAATTGTGTAAAAGTAAATAACTTTTTATTTAAAAAAATCACGGGATTTTTTCTACTCTTTAAATTAATCTCGTGATTTGAAACATATCCACTTTATTCTTTCGCTGTATGAAATCAGTGTAAGTACATGAATAACTCTACCTAATTCCGACCACTGCTGATCACACACCTGAAATAAATAATTATATTTATTTTATAACAATAACTTAATACAATGCTATACGGATAAATACCTTATCATGTATCTGCTAATTGGGATCATAAAACAGTCTAAGATATCTTAACAAAAATATGCATGAGCTTTCTTAAGCTTGATATTTCAGTATATTGAAATAAAATACATCACTCAGTACCAAGTATGGGGTCAGATGGTGGAACACCTAGTGGCGGCAGGGTAATAAAGTACGAAAATTCGTAACACATATTAAAGATTCTATTAAATAAAAAAGTAGAATAAGTGCTCAGATTGCACAATTGTCAAACTCAATAGATCTCTGATGTTGGTGTAAAAATGAGCTAAAAATTATTAGTTAAAAACTAAGTTTATAAAAAAACAATTAAATTTTCATTTAGTGAAAAAAACATATTCAGCAAACGCTAGAAGCCGTTTCGCGCCGTTGCTACCAGGTTTTTCATCATCTGACTGAGGTAAGGTGACCTGATCTCCACACTGAGTACTGATCGTTGTGAACTCTTAGTACCTCAACATACTTAAATATCAATCTTTAGATGCACTTGCAAATTTTTGTCACGAGCTCTCTGTCTAAAACTATTGAATGATGAATCATTTATCACGAAATGTAAACTCAAAGAGGTTTTGGTCGTCATAAACGAGACCAGAAACTGTGAAAAAGGTGAAAAAATTAAATGACAGAAACAAATGAACCGAATCATATGGTTGGTTTTCAATTTGGCAACTCGCACATTGCTCAACGCACATCGAAGGAAGTGACCATGAAAATAATTCACCATTTAATAAAACAAATTGTTAGAGAATAAGATAGATAGATAGTGCCCCGATATCATTCAATTCTAGTGCAAAAATCATATCGATAAAACTATTCATAAGAACAAAATATATGTAACAGACAGTAGAGCTTTTGGCAGGCAACGTTAAGTGTCTTAATATTTTTACTATGTTCTGAAAGCTACATTACCACCTTGGCAGGGATACCACGTTATATTGAAAGGTTAGTAATTTTTGAAAAGAATCATACAGATGTTAGGTTGCTTCCAATAACGTGTACGATTGAATCTTTGAACTATGCCCTTAGTACCTACTAGTTACTCTTACGTTGGATCCATAGATATACCGGCCGTGCTGTAAAGATCTTTTTTTCTCGTAAAAAATGAGTATCTTTAAATCGTAGGCACCAACTAGATCGTATTAGACATAACGTCATCGGAATTCGTGAAAAATCAGCCGTGAAAATTTTATCAATTCTTTAAATTAAGTAATTGCCATACCATAAGACTAACGGTACAATAAAACTTGAGCAAAAGCATAAAATAGTTTTGGTATTTTTCGAATAACTCCGCTTTTGAATTTTCCTGTACTTATTTTAAGTACAAATGAAGTTTGAGATTTGCTCACATTTCATTCGATAATTTATTCGGGATTGGCAATAAATGCAAATGCAAAATAAAATACCATAATTGTTTTATACGAATATTTTCAGATGAGTTGAAAATCGATTGTCATTAAATAGATTTCGATTAGCGTTCTTTAGGTTATTATTTTAATATGTGCGACTATTTTAATAAAACAGTTAATTTTAAAGATACCCCAAGCCAAATGCAAGAATATGGTGGCGGTGGTTCGAGCAAAACGAACGAGTACCGCGACGGGGAAGGCAGGGAGAGGAGTGGGCACCAAGAGGGCTACCAGCAGTCTGGACAATACGCAGTGATCCAGTCCAAGAACTATGGTAAGATAACAAAATTATAAACAAATATCACAATCAAAAACTAATTGCATGACTAGATTTTAAAAATTCAAATAAAAACCCATTTTAAATTCACTTTGATAATCATTCAAGACTTCCATCAAAATAATTGTTTATTACAACGATAACTTGGTTTCCTAACTAGGTTATCAAATAATAAATCTTTGTGTAAGAGAGGCTACTCCTTCGGTTACATATCATATGTTCAAAAACTGATTAACAAATAAGATAGTATAGGTAGACATGTAAAATATAATTCACAGATTTGCTTACTATAAAATTGTAAGAGTGTATTAAATTATAGTGAGGTATGTAAACGTCCTAGCTATACAAAAATCGAACAGAACTTTATAAACACCGCATCATAAAGTAATTTATTTTTTATTAATTATACTTCTATAAGTACTTATGAAATAAGTGGTTTATATTTTTATTCTAACATAGTTTCAAAAGTAAAAAATTATTTTTATAAACCAACAGGGTGTTCCAGTAAGGATTTATCTGATCAAAACATGGCAACTTATTGTAGAGTTGCCACTGGTATTTACGAAGCATCTGCATCTAGCCAACAATACCAAAATTCAAGGTATTATTTTCATTTTCAGCTTGGCTTTCCAACAAATTGCTTATTAAGATAGGTTTATTTATTCCAGATATGAAAACCAATCTGCTCCTACCTTTAGTTCCCCTCCGAACTCCCCCCTGATCGGCTTGGTCTTCGATCCATCATCGCCAAATTACGGAGGCTCTTCTGTAGCTGGTGAACGAAACCTGAACAATGATCGGCGCTCACAGAACTCATGGTCAGTTTCTAATCAAGAACCTATTGGAACAGGAGCCAAAAAGAAAATTATTAAAAGTCAGGACAAACGCAACAACTATTGTTCTGACTCACATTACCATGATAAGTACAAAGACGCAGGTGTAGAAACTGACCGTCAGCGAAAGGATAGAAACTTAGCTGCAGAATCCACATCCAGTCTTGATTTCTTCGTTGAAGGAGAAAGAATGGTATCGGAACTTTGCAACATACCTGATACTACTACCAGAAGTGATATCGCTCAAAAGTCATTCCAAAAATCTAGCAACCAAGACGATGATAAAGGCAAAGTTAATACATCCACTGAGACATTTATGACAATCTTGGATAAAATAGTAATTCATGATCAAATTCCCAATCAAATAGTTCAACTAGCGATTGAAGCTTGCACTGACGCTGAAAATATTGCTATTGCACATCACAACAGACCTTGTTTTAAGAATATACATTCTATTTGCGCTAAAACTAGATCTAATGTACAAAAACCAGACAGCGCTGTAGCCAATTTACATTCTCAGGGAATCCCATGGGTTATTAAAAATTTTATATTCTCTTTCGTCAGAATATTAGACGGATGGAAAGGAGTAAAAGAATTGCTCAGTGAAAAACATGACACATTTTCTAGAATAGAAAATAAATATTACAGCCCGAATATAAGGGACTGTTTCGTGCAGTGGCAAGCTGTTACAAAAGAAATGCTCACACATATTTATAAGACTTTTAAATGTCTCGATCACGGTTTTACTATGGAACAAAAGAGTTTTACTCATAACTATTATGCTACAAATACTTCAGCGCCACGGCACCAAAACCAAAATAAATTTCAAGCAACTAAATCTCATGTTAGTACTCCTAGACAAGTGAATGCATCACCGCAAACTTTTAATGCAGTTCAGCTTCCATGGGTACAAAGTCAAAATCAATCAACACAAAATTTCAATGACAACCCATGGCCACCTAGATCTGGTATAAGTTATAAGAAATTTCCTGTTGTTCCGCCACCAAACTCGCATAACTTTTATTCGCTGAATGATCAAAATGATATTGACAATTTTCAAAAAACTTCATACAAATGTGACCCTTGTAGTATCCGTGAAGCAAAACCTCGACAATCTTGGACGATTACAAATGTTCCTGACTTTCGGACTTTAGAAGGTATGTGTCATTCTGAACAAAGAGAACTTTATACTCAGTTAAAACACAAAATGGATGCGGAATTGGGAAAAGCTCCTGGTCAACCCATCATTGGAAATTCACAATGTGATTTGTTGCAAAGAAGGGAAATGGAGCTAAAAGCAAAAATGATACCTCTCAGCCATGTCGAGAAAAGACTAATACCAAGTATGGCGGCTACTGCTGAAATGAGAGGATGTTACATGCAAAAAAATAATAGTTGTGGTGATACTAAAGAAGAGGCAGATTTTTTTGCGGCGTGGGGTCAGATGGTCCAAAAAGAACCTAATGATTATATAACTCATCACTCTCACAATATTCCAATACAATCGAATATTGTGACGATTCCAAATAATATCTCTGGCCCCGTACAATTTATCGATTCCGAAAATGATGAGTTCCATGAAATGTCCAAAGTATATATGAAGCCCGGAAGTTATAAAGTACCGATTAAGCCTGCGGACCCAATAGCTGTTTTTGTTCAAGGCGCTGCACAAGATATCATATTTGATAATCCAGTTCCAGTAGATGAAATGATTCCTTTGAAAATGAAAGCCCCATTTCCTCCTGTGACTTTGGCACCGCAACCAAAGTACAACATTGAATCTTGGCCTTGTTTAGTGTCTAGGCGCATGGAAGATGTCTTTAATGAAGATACAAAAGTAATATCTCGACATGGCTTACCTTGTATAGACATGAGATCCGCTGATTCTCTTGATATTCTAAGTGCTATGACTTCAGACCGTGCTTGGGAAGCAGCTAAACAATCCGCTCCTAAACTAATGGACTTCATTCATGAAGGATCCAACAAATCTGACACGGCAAGATTATATGACGCATTAGGATTAACTACTAGTGAAGAATTTTCAGATGACCTAAAACAAGTTCATCTGAACATGGTACAAGCCGATGACTGGACTGCTGGGATATCACCAAATCATCTGACAACGAAAGAAATGCCAAATTTATGGCCCCCTCAAACTGTCAATAAAATTGATTCTACCTATTCTCAGAGTCATGATCAAACAATGTTTACAGAAGACATTATAAAATTGCTCGATTTTGATTCAAAACCTCCAGTAACAGATGATGTAACAACGGAATTACATGAAAATAAAATTGAGCCGACTAAAGAAACACGGTGCGCAAATTTCGATCAAACTGGTAATTATGTGAGAGATGAGAGTCATAAGAAATCTAGTGGACGTACAAAGGTTGCTGTTTCTGGAATGTGGTATCATCCCAAAAAGAAAAAACCATTACAGTCAAATATTGTTAAAAAATTTGAGACGATAATATTTAATCTATCACAAATTAGCGAAGCTGCTTTCATACAACACGATATGGATATAAAAATGGTAAATATCCCAACTAATCTAATTAAATCATGTAGAACTGACTTGCCCATTAAAAACTTATGTGTTTCAGGCCCCCAGGTTTTATGAAGTTGTAAAATATCCAATGTGTTTACACGATATATCTACAAAACTAAAGAACTCGTCTTACACCGAATATGAACAAGTGGTTCAAGACTTCCGGCGTATATTTAACAATGTTCGTCTTTATTTGAAGGTATTTTTTTTTATTCATTAACAATTTTGCTTTTCTTCTAATATATATCCATTGAATGAAAAAAAAAACATTTATTTTAGAACTATCCTGATGCAATCATGAAGAAAAACGTCAACAAGATTTCTGCAGATTTTGAAAAGTTTTTAATTGATGAATTTCAAAACAAATGGGAATGTAAAACAAAAGCACCAGATAGTGCTGATTCTCACGTCAATACCAAGAAAAAAGAAGAGAAGGAAGTGGATGCCGACAGTTCTGAGAACAATTATAAAGAAGAGCAAAATAAGAAAAATGATTCAAAAGTCTGTGCCACAGATGATAAGTGAAATATTAACGCGACATGAATAAGTAAATGATCAATTTTGGCTTATTTTAAATTATCAGGACATAGTGCTATGACTATATTCGAATTCAAATCTTGATACGTGAGGGTCTCGTTTTGTATTATATTTTCTTTATAGTATTTTATTTGTACATCTAACTTAATTATTTTGACGAGATTTCAGATATTGCTCTAGTTAAATTTGATACTTGTAACTTAAATTAAAACCTAACTAAAAATCTAGTCACACAAAGCATTTTTTTAACAAATGCCAGTGATGTCACCAGAACTAGAAAGATAAGATTTATCATTTTAATATGTAAGTGCTTGACAATTTTTCGAATGGACTTTATTAGCTTCTGTATGGGGCAAAAGCTTTATTACTTCTTTCGTCTAATTCTTGTCTCTACTACTTAGATTATAATTTGTTTCACATGATTTGCTTTCTTCGTACTTCTTGCATTAATTGTTAATTTTACTTGTATGCTTGTGTAGTCTGAAAACAAATTTATTTTGTTGCAATAATCAATTTTACGAATACTAAACTAAACGACTTTAGAGAATACAATACTCTGTTACAAACACAAAGACCCTAGGTAATAATTTTTTATGTATCGATCTGTGATGTATGTTTAGGTAAAAGTTGATACTTGGAATCATTTATCACGCTTAATTACTAGGTTTACGATTCGATTGAAATATGTATATAGAACGAAAAGAATAGAAGATAGATGATGTACACACAAATTTTAAAACATAAAAGTCGGATGGTATTAAATTAAAGAACTACATTTTTTTATTTTTGATTAAAAAACGTAATGTCACGCATCGCGGGAAGTTTAACGAATTATAATGTTTCTTTATTTAATTAAATAGAACTTGATTTTTTACTGAAAATTGTTTAATTTGATTTAAACGCCGTTATACTTCTTCCGACGCGGCCATTACATAAAGTACCACCTTTGTGACTGCTAGAATCTTATTTTTACCTAAGCCGTTAGCTGTTTGTTGTCCACATTGGTTCGTATATAAATATTTTTTAATTAATTTTTGAGTCCTTTTTTACCTGCCATAGAAATAAGTGAATTATCCACGACCACGTCACATATTCCGTTTGTCCAAGCATAGTTTGTTGCGAGTCATTGCAAAATTTAAATTTTAAATTTGACGGCGTGTGAGTTATTTTTAAGTATTCATTAAGTTGTGATTTTATTATTTAACTTATTTACCTAAAATTATGGCAAGGAACCCCCTATGGTAATAAAAAGAGTTATTTCGTATACTGGCATTTTTAATTTTGTTCGGTATGTTTCGTTTGTGATACATTTTTAAGGGCATTGCTTTCACCAATTTACACAGTGATTATACTTGTAAAGAATTCAATTTGTATGCTTATTTCACCGAAGAAGTTCCGCTCTCCCTAATTTAAATAAATCTGTGTCATAACATAACGACTGGGCATTTGTAGTATTTACATCATTGAAAATTATTTTAGTAGGACGTTCATATCGCACTTCGTATAACAAGGTAGTTTTTAGTTAAATATCAATTTATTATATTTTATAAATTTTACATCATATATCAATATTTATCTTAAAAGAAAGTATTTAAAAAATTTCACCAGTCCAACCCTCGCGAATTTTTTAAACATTTTTCTTCAAGATTCAAGAATCCAGAATCGTCCACGCCACTTTCATAACACAGCTACGGCATCTTGAGTTTTCACAAAATGAATCGTACTGCTCTGTCATACGCAAGGTGTAAAGAAAATTGGCTTCGTTCGTCTCCTTCGATGTGGCTTGAAATGCTAGCAGCTCAACTCTGCCAAATAGTACCTATTAGGGCGCTTGTGCACTACACTGAATTTTCATGTCCGGCGGTCCGATTTTTTCCGGTCCGGAATGACATGAAAAACCCGGATGAGTAGCTTGTGCACTTGTCCGTTTTTTTCCTGATCGGAGCGGCGCAGTGTAGGGCAGCTCTCTTTGAAGTTACATGTCACTTACGCTAGGTACGATGAGATTTTTGGAACGTTGGTAATTCCGTTCGAAGACGTAGAAAGGTACCTAAATAATGATCTGATCGTTTTACATAAACCATAATAAATTATGGCAAGACGAAAGCATTTTTTTACTACTATTGGATGACTACTATCAGATGTAAAAACTTATACCCTTACTAATTTAGGAACAGCATTATTCACATACAATAGCTAAAAATATCTGTGACATTAGAATAAAATTACTGATAATGGTCTAGTACTTGATGTTTAAATGTGTTATTTTTTTTTCGAAGTTTTGTAAAAACAACTTTCAGCGATTACAGAGATAGATCAATCGGCGGCGCCATTTCGTTAACAAATCGAAATTAGTGCCGTGTTAGCGGAGAATTATTATGCTAAATGAACTTTACGAGATCAGTTGACTGCATTATATATAGGCATAATTTTATACACGTGGTGTAGTTTCTTTGAGCAGAAATATTATTCCCTTAGAATACTTCTTTTTTTAAATTTATTAATGAAACAAACATACATTTAAAATATTATTAAATGCAAAAAAGACATTGAGTGTCACTTAATTAATTTTCTGTTAATCTTCTGTTTATTCTTTATTATTACTTCTGTTGTCAAATATTTATTTGATAATGACAAATTTCCAGGCAAACTTTCATCCCCTATTTTTCGCGATAAATGTAGCCTATGTCCTTTCTTAAAGTTAAGTCTATTTACTATATTAATTTCCATTTAGATGGGTTCATTTGTTTAGGCGTCTAAGCGTAACAACACTTATTTATCTAACCTTAAGCTATCGATACTTTTAATACGATTTTAAAATCTAGCTAAGTATCGATACTAGAACCATACGCTGATCAAATAAGAACTATACCGAATTTGCCAAAGCATATGCAGTGATATATACCAACTATATTAAATCAATAAATATCGATTATAAGTTTATTGGAAATTAAGAATATTGCCGAAATAAATATCGATTCAAATCGATTATTTTTTCCCAAGCCTATTCCTTATGAATTTTCCGGATCTCGGACACAGTAGTGCACAAGCGTAAACACGTTTTTCATTGCCGCCATCACGGACCTGAAAAAGCCGGTCCGGAATAGAGAAAAGTAAAATTCCGGACGGTAAAATTCCTGACAGTGCACAAGCGCGCATTACCTACATATGGCCTGACATATCGGACCTGAAAAAATCGGACCGCCGGACATGAAAATTCAGTGTAGTGCACAAGCGCCCTTAGGGAATGCAATCTAGTTCGGATTTCGGAAAAATCTCGGCCTTTTAGCGAGATTAATCTCGGTCGAAAAATGGGTGAGATCTCGCGAGTTTAACGAGATTGCTCTCGAGCATATTATAGTTAAAAGACTTATTTGATATCAGAAAAGAAGATTGCTTATATACTCGTATTTCATTTCTTGTTTGATTAAATATGTAAAAGTTTATTTAAAAAGAATTGTTTGGTACTTATATTGTTTTGTTTATAAAGATTACTGTTATATTATTTAAAGTTTTTGTTTCTTTGTTAAAAAAAGACGGGTTGTTCGTTTTATTTCTTATTTAATAACATACGTCAAAGTTACCAACTTTAAAGTTTATTAAAAAAAAAAAAAATTCATACATGCATGAGTTTCATTTAAGTTTTAGACTTCTATTGTTTAGTAATAAAAGACTGTTTTTATTATAATAAAAACTTATTTTATATACGAGTATTATATAAGAAAACTGGGTTATTTATTTTATTTATTATTTGATAAAATGCATCATAGTTTCCTATACTATTCCATATACCATATACTACAAAGAACAAAACTTTATTAAAAAAAATATGTGTTTATTTATTTATTTTATCTGATTCATATTACCTATAATTCTTATTATTTTTTCGTTACATGTTTAAGTAATCACAATATTTGGCAGTTTTGAATTTTTTAAATACACAAAACCGCCAATCTCGCGAGATATCGAAATCGGCGAGATCTCGATGTATTGATATCCATAAACTCGCGAGATCTTGCCTGAGCTCCAATACCGCGAGATTGCATTCCCTAGTACCTATTGTATTTTTTAAAATCGTCTTTGTTTGTATTACTATTTCTCATTTTAAATGATCATTTAGAACAGCCTTTCCCAAAGTGGACGATAATGCCCCCTTGTGGGCGCTGCAAGCATAAATGGGGGCGGTAAGAGGCACAGAAAAATAAATGGGGGCGCTGTATAGAAGCTAAGGAAAGTTAACTAAAGACTTGTGTTCTAAATAATGCGCTCAGCTCTCAAGGTAACTTTTGTAAGTTTTGTAAAAGTCTCGCTTAGAATGAATGTTTAATATCCGCTAGTATAGCTCAGAATAATTAATTTAATTTGACGTTATAGCGGTTTTAACTGGGTGAAAAAATGGGGGCGCTAAAAATAATTTATTCTCAACAGTAAACGAAATAAGTTTGGGAACCCCTGATTTAGAAAATAAAAATTCTTACTGAATGTGATTGGTCAACCTAAGATGCTGATATTTTTCTTTAGATTTTACTCGGCTCGATTATGCCTTTACAGTTACATCTCTCTAATGTATACGCAGTTTTAGTAAACATACAAGTGGCAAAAAAAGCTGTATGTACGCGCCAGAAAAAAAAGGTGAAAAAAAAAGGTATTTTACATTTACTTCTGTGAGTTTTATAATATACTAGCTTTCCGCCAGCGGCTTCGGCCGCGTGCTTGTATTATACATAGAAACCTTCCTTTTGAATCACCCTATTTACGAAAAAAACCGCATTAAAATCCGTTGTGTAGTTTTAAAGATTTAAGCATACATAGGGATCAAGGGACAGAGAAAGCGACTTTGTTTTATACTATACATATAGTTATATTGACCATAACTGTGTTCAATACTTATAGAAATAAACTAAATGAATTTGGAAATTTTCTGTAGATAATTATAATTAAAAAAATTATTGAAGAATTTTTATAATAACAATAGCTGTTTTCCCGCG